TTATACATTTGACAAAAAATGCACAAACACTTCTGCAAATATCCCAAATTTAGAAATAACTAGTGTGAATACTTCGTTTCAATCGAAGTAGAAAGAATCGGCCTACAAATATGTGGTTGTTTATTCAAAACATTTATTTTTAACTTTAATAAAATGATATCCCTAGATTTTTCCGGTGTGTGTAATAAAGTTGCTGTCAACGTCCGGTATTTCCGAAAGTGCCGCCATATTGAATATATTTTTAATCGATAGATCTCATTGTAAAACAATGATGTTCAAAAAATCTCAGATCTAGATATTGTAGTTCTCTGGAAACTTCTAATGCACGCTCAGGTTATTGATTTTCTGTGTCATCTATTCATTTTTGACAACTATTTAGTGGTTTTGTAATGTATGTCAAATAACTAAAATAGAGTTTAACAGTTAATAAAATAACGCACTATCAAATTAAAATTCCAGACCACAGGCCGTTTAATTATATTCATATCTGATATCACAATATTTTGTTAGTGACTAAGCTGATTCCTTAGTGATAATTTCTTGACCAAAACAATTTTTTATAGTGGGACATATACAGGGTGTTTCTTAATGACATGCTAACATTTAAGTGGGTGATTCTTGGGCCTACTCTAAGAAAAAAACTTCATATAATTGTATGGTATGTTTTTTTTGGTACTATAACCCACAAAATTCTGGATGTTGGTTAATTTAGAAGTATGCTTTGGAATTAAATAAAACAAGATCTTTTTTTAAAATACTAATTATATTCTAACTTATACTAATACAATTGGCTGGCTGTGACAGTCTTGACTATATACGGTTAGATACAATATAACTGGCATACTTAAATTTTCATCTGCTTCGGTTGGTTCGTTGATTGGGAGAAAGGCCTCACCCTCTTCGCTGCACTCGTCCGCTGATTGTCTGGCTAACATTGGAGAGCTTGTGAGACTCCACCAGTCTCAGTGCGTGAGCTACTTATGGGGAGGGTCAATTCTCGTATCTTCCTAGAAGATAACAAACAGCAGTATTCTACTCAACACAATTGATAAGTACCCAGTTTTGCGGTGGTGTTCTAAATTACCAATTGAACTGTCTGTTGGTTGCCAATGAAGGTACAATAAAAATAACTTATGATTAAACAACATATTAGTGATTCAAATAAACAATAATCAATATCTCCAACTACTAAATATTATAATAAAAATTATAATTAAAATTTTAAAAAAAATAGACAATGACAGTTTAAATTAAGTTATAATTGAAAAGATTGTGCAAATTATTTAAAGAATATAAAGAATATAAATATAGAATTATAAAAAAATATAAAAGAAAAATATTTTGCTCTCTCTTTCTAGAAAATTCCAGACCACCACAATCACTTTGGTACGACTTGAAAAAAATATATATATTGTTACCATAAATTATTTGATTTAATTTGTAGACACGTGTGAAAAGAATAAAAAAATATGTAAGATAAAAAAACTAGGAATATATGAAAATTTAAATTAGAACAAAAGTTAATACCAAAATGCGATATTAAAAGATAAATTAAAAAACTAGATAGAAAGATAAAGGTAAATAGAAAGATAGAGATAAGATACGGAAAACGATAAATGCTCAATTCGACAGATAAAAACTAAAAGAAAACGTATGTCACTCCAGGAACAAAGATAATGCATCCGCCAAATAAGATAAGGATATGGTAAGGTAAATTTGGCAGATACGAGGTAAAGATACGTTCCCTAGAGTAACCCAAAAACAACAAAAAAACAAAAATCTATCTGTCGAATGGCCTGCCAATAGATACCACCACTACAGGGTCCAGATAAAACAAGAGTTGCCTTCTGGCAAGTAAGGATTCATTAAAGGTGACATAAGTCGTATAATATAAATATTATAAAAAATCCTTACTTACCAGAGTCCCTCCTGGTTCGTCTCTGAGAGTACTCCTGCAGTGATTGATTCTATTCATGGCCCCTGAGATTGTTAAATCGAACACCTCTGCGTGTTCCTGTTTGACAGCTTGCGTCTCAGTACATAAATAAGAAAGATAAATATAATTAGTTCTAAATAAAAGTTAAAGGAATTAGAAATTTTTTTTTTACAAAACTACCATACACGTGCTACTAAGATAAGAAGATAAAGAAATGATAATAAAAAAAATGAACTGTGAGATAAAAAGATAAAATAGAAAAAGGAAGTTAAAGTTACAAGCTAATTAAATAATTAAATCATATTAGATAGTAAGAAATGTTTAAAAAAATAAAACTAATAAATAATTTCCAAGTCGTACCTCGTGCCGGTGTCTGGAAAAAAAACTAGGTGTTTAAGCAAAAAGATCGAGATGAGAGAGTGATTTTCGGAAAAACAAGTCCCTTTATAGAATTCTCCCATTCATTTAGACATGCGTTAAGTACCAAATGTCAATATAAAAATTTATAATTAATAGTAAAAATAATACATACGATAAAATTTCCTACATACCTTCAAAAAAATGTGTGTAACAATTGTATCTTAATTATTTAACTAAATAAAACAAAATATTAATAATAAACAAATTTTATCGGTAATCCAACCAGAAAATATATAAAATATTTAAACAATTTAAACTAACAACCATTGCTAGTGATGTGTACCACTATCGAGGTTCCGCAAAAAATCGATAATATAAAAAAAAACGGATAAACGATATAAAAGGAAAAATGTAACGAAAATATTTTCGTTACAGTACGCGGCTTCCATGTATCAAAATGCCATATTTTGATATACAAAAAAAAAACATTTTATTTCCTAATTTCCTTCCAGCCGACGACGACGCAGAAACAATTTCCACGCAACAGTCACCGGATCAGATTTTCAGCGATTTGACCCTGAAGTAAACTGACTTTAATTTTTTTAAGCAGAAACTATGCATCGGATGAAAAAAATCAAGAGATAAAAGTTATTTCGAAATGAATGGAAATTTTAAAAATAATTTTTATTTTAAGAAAACTCAGTGGTGTATCAATTTTTCTTCAGAAATATTCAATGTAAAACCCGTATGGGCGGCACTGGTTGAAATAAATAAAATTATTTGTACATCAAAAAAGATATTTTGATGCATAGAAGACATGTATCAAGTTTCATAAAAATACCTGTAATAAAATCAGAGTTATTATAAAAAAATGTTTTTTTAGAAAAATTTACCACCCTGTATCTCAGAAATTAAGATGTTTAGGACATACATTCATATGAAGGTTTTCTCTTAGAATAGGTTCAAGAATCACCCCCTTAAATATGAGCATGTCATTAAGGAACACTCTGTATATAATTATAAGGAAAGATATAAAAGTGTAACCGTCACATTAATTCTATATGAAACTTATAAAAATATCCAATATCTTATATCTATATCTTATAAAGTTTGTTCATTCTCACAAAGTGGTGGCCCATGGTAAAAAACTTAACATTAAAATTGATGAATAAAATGGCTGAATGAAATTGCCGAAACCGGTCACGAATAAAGAATTTTTTGATAACGGTTTGAACTTTGTTTTCCATTTTAACTTTAAGTTTTTTATATCTATATCTATTTTTTAAATAATATATTACATTCGTTGCCATGTTGAGCATATGTTCAAAATTAACTATGGTATAGTATTTACGGCTTTATTAACTGATTAAATTATTTTATAACTCTGTCCCAAGTATATAAATGTTGTGCCTAAATATCTCACTTATAAAATATGATCAATTCAGACCATGTCTGACTTATTTTATTGGCACATAAAATTAACGAATTATTAACATTTACATAGTTATTGGTATTTGCCACTTGTATATGCAAATACTTTGATTGTATGGAATATTAAACGCAATAACTTGTTATTTTAAAATGTCCGTAGAGATGTTACGTTATTGTAATAATTAAACAATAAATTATAAACATTTTGGTAATAAAAGAGGAACGCTAGAAGAATAAAAACTTTTTGACCAGTGTTTCACTGCTTAATCTAGTAATTTAATAAAATAAAAAATAAATATTTCATATTTTTGGTTCAATGGCAAAATATTTAGAAATTTTCGTAAAAAAAACATCAAAAACGTTGTTGTTTTCTGTTCTATTCTAAAAACAATAGGCAAATATCTTTGCAGAACTTAACGGCTGTTTCAGAGATCAAAAAGTATAGAAAGGACATACCACAAATCATTTCTTCAAATGGTTCCAGAGATTTACCACTAAACGTCATTACCCGTGACTGTCTTTGCTTTACCATCCACTGTAAAACACTCATGCCTTTTGGTTCTATTTAAATAACCATCTTTTAGAAATATTGTATATTTGTTAGATGACTGTTTTAATTTTAGAATAACATCTCTTAAGTATTGGCCTACTAAGAAAAATTAATATTATTAAGGTAGTATAACATCAGGTAGTATAACATTAGAGGAAGCATTAGGAATAAAAGCGAGACGAAAGAGCAGAAAGTTGTGGTGGACTGATGAACTTGAAAAACTTGTAGAGGAAAAAAAGATACTGTATTTGAAATGGTTAAATTCGAAATCTGAACTAGACAAGCGCACTTATAATGACAAGAAAAATGAGGTGAGGAGAATGGTAAAAGAAGAACAGAATAAAGTATGGAGATTTATAAAAACAACAACAACTGAAAAACAGGAGTCAGCCCCTATAGAAGTAATAACCAACAAAGAATGGGTGAAATATTATTCCAACTTGTCAGAGAACAGACCTGAGTATCAAGAACGGCCACAGCCAGAAATAAACACTGAAGGAGAGGAAATCTACGTAGATACCAACAAAATAAAAACCGCTATAATGTCTTTAAAGAATGGAAGAGCATGTGGCCCAGAGGGGGTATATGCGGAACTCATAAAATCTGGAAGCGAAAAACTGTTTAGAATGTTAACAAACATAGTTAACCAGTGCTTAAATGGTCATCCAGTACCTGAAGAGTGGAAAAAAGCATATATCTCCTCTATATATAAAAAGGGCTCAAGTAAGGATCCCAATAACTACAGGGGAATTTCGGTAACCAGCACTATGAGTCGCCTCTATGGAAGGATACTGAGAAACTTAATTGAAGAGGAATACTCCAGCTACGAAGAAGAAGAGCAGAATGGTTTCAGAGGCGGAAGATCATGTACAGATAATATCTTTGCGTTGAAACAGATCATCGAGAAGAAATCTGCAACGAACCAGGAAGTTCATATAATATTCATCGCTCTACAAAAAGCATATGATACAGTGCCAATAATAAAATTATGGGAAGTATTGCACGAATCAAGAATTAACGCAGCTCTGATAAAAGCTGTACAAAATCTTTACCATGGAGGAAAATCACAAATAAAAACGGTCAACGGTCTCTCAGAGGAAATTTCTATCACTAAAGGGTTCCGACAGTGTTGCTGTATATCCCCAACACTATTTAAAATTTATATTACCAAGGCCTTATATCTATGGAAAAGAAAATGTAACGGAATGGGTATAGAACTAAATGACATATGCCTATACACCTTGCAATTTGCAGACGACCAGGCCATAATTGCAAACGACAAAGATGACATGGAATATATGGTGCAGAAAATAATTGAAGAATACGCTAAATGGGGTCTCACAGTAAATACAGAAAAAACAAAACACCTTCCAATTGGATCCAATACAGAAAATCTTATTTTGGACAATAATACGGAAATTAGGGCATGTGAAGATTACAGGTACCTGGGATCGATATTTACAGGAGATGGAACGGACGATAGAGAAATAAACAACAGAGTAATAGAGGCACGAAGAGTTATCAGATGCATAAATGGCATTCTATGGAGTACTGAAATTACAAAAAACAGGAAATATAATATATACGAGACACTAGTTAATAGCATATTACTCTATGGATGTGAAACATGGCGACTCACTGAAAGGAATAAAAAGAAATTAGAGACAACAGAAATGGACGCGATTAGAAGAGCAATGAGAATTTCACGGAGGGATAAGATCAGAAATGAAGACATTAGACAACAGATGGGAATAGAGGGAACAATAGTAAATGATATAGAACAAAAACAATTAATATGGTACGGCCATGTTCAGAGAATGCACAATGAAAGAATTCCAAAACAAGTCATTCATTGGATACCACCTGGTAAACGAAAGAGGACGTCCCAAGAAAACATGGATGGAAGGAATAAGAAGGTCGATGAGCGAGAAAAATCTGACCGAAGATCAATGGGAAAATCGCACAGGGTGGAAGTTAGAGATCGGACAACGTAGAACAAAACTGCATTAATATGGTTACGGCCATTTTCAGATAATTTGACAATGAAATCGGAATTCCAAAATCCTATAACTTTTGTATTTATCTTTTGCGGTATCTCCTGGTAAACGAAAGAGAGGACGTCCCAAGAAAACATGGATGGAAGGAATAAGAAGGTCGATGAGCGAGAAAAATCTGACCGAAGATCAATGGGAAAATCGCACAGGGTGGAAGTTAGAGAGAAAGTTAGAACAAAAACAATTAATATGGTACGGCCATTTTCAGAGAATGCACAATGAAAGAATTCCAAAACAAGTCATTCATTGGATACCACCTGGTAAACGAAAGAGAGGACGTCCCAAGAAAACATGGATGGAAGGAATAAGAAGGTCGATGAGCGAGAAAAATCTGACCGAAGATCAATGGGAAAATCGCACTGGGTGGAAGTTAGGCATCGGACAACGACGTAGGACGTTCTGACAGGAATATATATATATATATATATATATATATATAACTATCTCTATATATATATATATATATATATATATATATATATACTATATATATATATATATATATATATATATATATATAAATATATAAAAGGTGAATATCGGATATTTCAAAATGAAATCAGATATTTGAAAAACTTTTGTATTTATCTTTTTTGCGTATATATATATATATATATATATATATATATATATATATATATATATATATATATATATATATATATATATATATATATATATATATATATATGCTATATATATATATATATATATATATATATATATATATATATATATATATATATATATATATATATATAAAAAAAATTCGTAAATTGAATATCGGATATTTCAAAATGAAATCAGATATTTGAAAATCCTATAACTTTTGTATTTATCTTTTTGCGGTATCTCCTATATTTTACCTAATAATCGACCCTGTCCATACATAAAAGCGACCCTGTATGTAGGTACAGTAAATGCTAGAAATTAGAAGCTTACTAGTTACTTTGCATTACTTCTAGAAGCTGCCCGTAACTTACTACCCAAAAATTACAATAAAAGCAGATCGATACGACATTATTTTGTTAATTTTAATACTAATTTGATTGCTTTTATTGCCTTGATTATAAAATTAAGAAAGTTTCAAGTCAAATTTAGGAAATTTTACTTATTGTTGACATAAATTGACAGTTTGAAGTGACTCAGGAGCTTCAAACTTTGAAGTTATAGGTAGTATTATTATTTAAATATTAATATTGGACAGGTATATTTTTATACTATATTAATATACTTCTCTACTAAATAATATAAGCAGTAAATAATATGTAAATTTTTCATAAGATTTTTTTATTGAAAGTTTTTTTTAATTATTATGTATATATAACATATTATTTATCAAAGCTACATGGTTCGAATGCGGAAGGGCAATATATTTTATTTATACCGTCTCTTATAAATTTTTATAGCATTCATTTGGTTTCAAAGCAAAAAATACATCAAAGGGAGGTTGCTTCTATACGTATATTTTTTTCTGTTTTTAATTAAATAGTGTAAAAATATCCGGTATTCTGTATATTTGTGCCATTTTAAAGGTACTGTACACCGTACGCTTTAATTACGTTGTGTACTTTTGCAATTAATAATATGAAAGAAGTCATGAATTTTTAATAATGGCATTAAAAAAATAAAGAGTCTAATGCTTGATGGCATTTTAAGACTACTGTCATACACAATCATGATTATAATATAGACAGCCGTTGATACAGTATCCAGTAAAAAAGTAAAAGGGCGATATATATGACATTAAGGTGCGTAAAGTACAGAGACTGGCATGTATCTGCATTACAAGTGCCATTAGAACATCTCCAACAGCAGCAATGGAGGTCATTCTAGACCTAATACCACTGCACATTGTCGTCGGTAGTTATGCCAGTGCTACAATCATTAGAATGATCATTGACGGAAACAGTACTGGGAGAATTTTTAAGTCAGGGGCTTGGAACACCCTCAAAAAGAAAATTCCACTTCTCCAACTCCCAGTGGATGACATACCAAGAATTTACAACTTTGAGAAACACCATAACGTGGTATACTGATACTTCCAAAAGCAAAGCAGGGACAGGGCATTATTAGAGCATCTACCCCAGCATCCTTCAGGTAGAAATTTACGCTATCGAAAGATACGTACAATTTATCTTAGATAGGAACTATCGGAAACAGGAAATACCCATATTATCCGATATTCAAGCAGCATTAAACGCGATCAACTCAGTAACCATCAATTCAAAGTTGGTTAAAGAATGCCTACTTTGGGTGCCTGCTAATCAAGGGATAGAAGGCAATGAAAAAGCAAATGATCTAGCTAGAAAAGGAGCGAACACTCTACTAACTGGACCAGAACCGTTCTGATTTCCAAGTGGGAACAAACTGAAGACGGAATTGAAGAATCTAGAAGACTCCATCCGTAACCTGGAATGAGTCTCCTCCAACGGTCTAAGACACTCGAAAAAGTTCCTGTGAACTTACCACCGAGAAAAATCGAAGGCTTTCCTTGATTTAAGTAAAATAATCTTCGAATTGTCACGGGGTTTCTGACAGAACAGTGGTCTCCTCAACGAACACCTTAGAAGGCCGAAGCTGAGAAACAACGGCGAATGCAGATTCTGTGCGGAAAATGGGGAAACACCAGAACACCTTATCACTGAGTGCGCTGAGACGACGACCGTTCGTGCCATGAACTTTGGTAAGGATGATGTCGAGGATGGAGAGCTGGCCTCGATACTGGCTTTTGTTAACGCCCTGAGACTGTATGATTAGTTATAACTCGTTATAATTCAAGAAAGGGGAACACACAATAGATCTGTAAGGTGGCGGTGATTAACTCCCGTCCCAAACATTCTAGATTCTATGTATGGTATATTGAAATTAGTCTGTCATTTAAATTCTAAAAGGGAATTAATTAATAATTTTGCTATCATTTTTGTCACAAATGATTTAAAGTAAAAAGTAATTATATCAAAGAATTACTTTTACTGAACAGGTTTGTGTGACTTAGCCTGTATTCCGTTGTAAAACCAGGCGAACCAGACCGGTAAACTACGGTAAATAGCGGTTCCTGAAAAACATCGGTTTGGTAAAATATTGGAAATGTCAAATGTGTTGACGTTTTCTAAATTTCTTAAATAAATAATTATTATTATGTTTATATTAAATTTCTTTTTTTTTTTTCTTAGGGTGACGTGGATATTTTTTCCTTTTTTATTTAAATATTAATTTTTTACAAGTTTTTACGTCAATATTTATTAAATGGTGTTTATAGGACTCATTTGTGTTGGGTTCATTAATGGTTAACCTATAATAATATTCGCAAATTACATTAAATTAAAATAAAATAAGAGGTAGAAATAAAGAACCAGTAGCATTCTTCTCCATCGTTCGTCTTACTTTCTGGAAAGCTCTAAAAGGACAGACAAAAACAAACATCGACATTTTTAAAGTAATAAAACATATATTTTTATAGTCGGATATATTGAATTTCAAAACGTGCGACATCATAAACAATAAACTTTTCGGGAAGGGATACGCGGAAACGGCTCGCATATACAAACATTTTTATGATTTCGAACCCCTATAAAGTTTTATTGTTTTCCTTACACTCGAAAATGAAGCTGATACGAGACGCTGACTTGTCAGATTAAGACCGACTTGATGCCTCCGAGGAAATCGAGCATATATTTAATAGAAATTCTAGAAATGTATTTTTGTCGTAACTGAATCAGTGAAATTAAAAAACTCGAAGTTTATAGAGCGTAACCCAGAGTTTGGAAAAAGCTACATATCAAGTTTTTCATTTGATATGTTTTAAACATTATATGCGCACATTTTAATAATATTTTTACTACTATCGTTGTAGTCTCTACTATCGTATAGAG